CTATAAATCTATACCTTGCTACGTGGCTGGTGGCTTACCAGAGTCTTGTCCTGGCGGTGGCTGCAGTGTCTCTCTCCTCAGCCTTCTGCTTCCCAGAATTCTCCTCTCTCCTTGTCCCACCTACTTCCTGCCTCGTCACTGGCCACCAGTGTTTTATTTATATAGAACAATATCCACAGCATCATACATCCAACGCAGCTACAAAAATAGCTAAGGTCACTGACAACAGGCACCATTTAAACTCAAGGAGGAACCTGGTGTCATGTAATGAGCAGCTTTATCCCTCCTTGTGTCTGAAATACATTTTCTTCCCCAAGTTATCCAAACAGCAGAAAATGAGCTTTCTTATATGAAAAGAAGACAAACAAAAATATGGGCAACTGTGACTAGATGTGAAGAGATTTAAACAAATGGTATCTGAGAAGATATGTGCATAGTCATGGGAGTTACTTATAGAAATGATAAATGGAGTCAAGATCCTCTGGTCTTAGGAGCACTGAGCTGCGTCCCCAGACAAAGAGAGGAAAATAGTGGACGGGAAAACCTCTGTGAGTATAAAATATGACACAAAATATGGACTGTGACCATTCTGGTCATTCTAAAGTGACAAGGGACACCTATCTATTTTTCTCCTCAAATTATCCATTCCACCCATATCTAACTGGGATTGAGAGCCACTGATAGCCAAAGGAGTTCAGCTTGTCTCTTAGAGCCTTTGTGTAATAACTATCTTAGAATATTGGTAGTGCTGTGGGTGATGAAAAGTTAGGTAAGCAGAGCCTCCTCAGAGGATGCAGGCATAGGTCAGGGTCACTTACGCTGTTAAACTTCAGAAGGACAAGAGTCCCCCCACCTAACACGTATCCAATGCCCTTGAGACTGATTGTTAAATTATAAAGAAGCACAGTTAACACAGTTCATGTCTCGTAGTTCAATACCAGCATTCGGAGTCAGTAGAGGAGACACACATTTTCTTCCACAAAGCAGCTACAATGGCATCTTTTGGAGAAAAACAGGTATGTGGAGAAGGGATGTGAAGGGGAAGATCTGTGCTTCCTCTTCTTTGAGTGTTTGTTAAGTAGTAAATTGTCTACCCTATAATGCAGTAACACTGTTCGTACATGTTTTCTTCCCCTTTCCATCTGTTTACATGCAGAGAGAGTGTGTAAGCATCTAGATTGTTGACGATGCAGGGTTTGCTGTGGATTTGTACTGAAAGGCAGATCTGTTTGGAAACAACAATGTGCAGTCTTTTGACAATGTATCTTGTCTCCTAAGAATATTTAGAACCTTGAAAAGGAGTGAGAGTTCTTCATGAGGACGAGCTGATTTGTATAGTAGAGGTGTTCCCCTAAGTGAAGCAGAGACAGCTCAGGAGTGGAATGTGTGCTCACTGCGAACAAGGTGCTGGATCAAATCCCCACTTCAAATAAGAAAGGGGGGGGGAAGCATAGGAAATGCAAAGAAAATTTTATTGGCTTATTTTAAAAATCACTTCACTTTGAAAGTAAAGAGTTATCTGCACGGGGTATCTGTCTGTCTGTCTGTTATCATCTTTCTATCACATCTATATCTCAACCCCTTCCTATGTTACATTTTTATTTTAGTTACTGGACTAAGAAATATAATATAAACACTAATTTTTAGACGCTAAAAATAAGTGTAGTTTGAGAACTGATTACATATACTTTAGAAATGTATGGGGAAAGGATTTTTAATGAAACTATTCCAAGGCTCAGGGCTCACCATGGAAGAAGAGGATGTAGAGAGATTTTAAGAGTCAAAGGTAGTGTACGACTGCAGTGAACCAGTGCCTTCCAGTCATGACAGGGTCATTCCATGCTTGACTTCAAACTTCTTGCACGCACAAGATAAAGTCAGACAAAATCTCAGCATGGATGGAGGAAGGTCATGAAGCCCCATCGCCAACCATGGAGCTGTTGGCAAGAGATGGCTGCTGGGGGAGGTAGATTTTCTTCAGGGTTGTGGTCCCTGAGAGGCTTCCCACACTTTAGTTGATGGCCCTACACCCGTGCACATCCTGTTAACACTATGTGGATTCAGAGGGTTTAAAAAAACAAGTGAAACTGGGAGGAAAAAGTGGTGGTGAGAGAATAGAGGAGTTAGAGGTGAAGGAATGAGAGATGGATTTGATCAAAACACCTTTTATTCATATAAGAAATTCTAAAATGAAAAAAAAAATGCTCTTTTAGGCTGGACACTCTAGTGCACACTTATCATCCCAACATCCAAGAAGTGAAATCAGAGGATCAAAAGTTCAAGGCCAACCTATGCCATGTGTGGCCTTACCTCAAAAACTAAAAAACCAAACCAAGTCAACTAACCACCACGACCACTTATTGGAAATAGGTCTGTTTTTCTGTAAATACCATTGATAGCGGCATTAGCTGGCAGAGATCTTAAATGTAATTAGTGGTTCTCCTATTTGTAGCTTCTAAACCCCCAGGTCTTGTGTATGAATGGGTCCTTCATCCACTTTAAACCATTGTGAAAGCACATGCTGTCACATATTCCATTGCTTCTCTGCAGGTGGATCTGGTGTCCCAGAGCAGGAAGGAAAAGAGGAACCAAACTGCCTTGGATCCATTCCTTGGTGTCAGTTGCTCCCTTTCTTACAGCTGGTTTTGCTGCTTAAGTTAAAAATAATCACTGCAGAGCCTGATGCTTGGAGTTCCGTCCCCAGGACCCACACAGTGGAAGGACAGACCCCAATCCTGAAAGCTGTCCTCTGACCTCCACCATTTGATTAACTCTCCTGGATGGTGTGGCGCTTGCTAATCCTTGGAGATTTGCTAAGGAGGGTGGCTTTCCCAGATAATTAAGGGTACTTCAATAACTCTTCCACCTTAAAACAACTTTAGTGAGAAAAAAAAATCAAAGCACAGAGTAAACAATAGAACATGTGAATGAATCTATTTTTACACACAATAACCTAAGGTTTATGAGGCAGCACAAGCCAAGCAAATCAATTCTGATGATGGATTCCAGGTTCATCTGAGGATGAATTGTTATGGATGTCCTAGCAGCTATCTGTTTCTATAAAAACAAGGACACTTGGTTAGAGTTAAGTGGGTAATAAATTTATTTTGTTGTAATAAATAGATTTTATCATCTCCCCTCCTGCTTCCCTTTTCTGTCTTTCTCCTCCTCCTCCTTTCTCCCCTGCTTCTTCAACTTCTTAATTACAGATCCTGTTAGAATGATGTAGGAGTGGGTAGTAAAATGAGTCATGAAAAGTGTAAAGTAAATAATTTTAATCTAGTCTATAGAATTCTATAAATCATAAATTAATGAAAAATGTCATAAATATTTATGTATTTCAGTATAATTGTCTTCCTTGAGTCTTCTATATTTTTTCTTGAATTGGTTTGTGAAAGCAGAAATAAAAATAAAGTGTTGGTCTGTTCTCTGATAAAATCCCATGTGTTCTTGCTTTTCTGTAGGAAGCCCTTGATTGTTCAGAATATGGAAATGGATCTTGCCCAGAAAATGAACGGTCCTTAGGGGTCCGAGTTGCCATGTACTCATTTATGGCAGGAGCCATATTTATCACAGTCTTTGGTAACCTGGCCATGATCATTTCCATTTCCTACTTTAAGCAGCTTCACACGCCGACTAACCTCCTCATCCTCTCCATGGCAGTCACCGACTTCCTGTTGGGATTCACCATCATGCCATACAGTATGGTCAGGTCGGTGGAGAACTGCTGGTATTTCGGACTTACATTTTGCAAGATCCATTACAGCTTTGACCTGATGCTTAGCATAACGTCCATCTTCCATCTTTGCTCAGTGGCTGTCGATCGGTTTTATGCCATCTGTCACCCTTTGCATTACTGCGCCAAAATGACCATTCCAGTTGTTAAGCGGCTGCTGCTTGTCTGTTGGTCCGTCCCTGGAGCATTCGCCTTTGGGGTAGTCTTCTCTGAGGCCTATGCTGACGGTATTGAAGGCTATGACATCTTGGTTGCTTGTTCCAGTTCCTGCCCAGTTATGTTCAACAAGCTATGGGGGACGACTTTGTTTGTGGCAGGTTTTTTTACTCCCAGCTCTATGATGGTGGGGATTTACGGCAAAATTTTTGCAGTATCCAAAAAACATGCTCGTGCGATCGATAACTTGCCAGAAAGTCAAAATAATCAAATGAGGAAAGACAAAAAGGCTGCCAAGACTTTAGGAATCGTGATGGGTGTTTTCTTACTGTGTTGGTTTCCCTGTTTTTTCACCATTCTCCTAGACCCCTTTCTGAACTTCTCTACACCCGCGATTCTGTTTGACGCCTTAACGTGGTTTGGTTATTTTAATTCCACATGTAATCCCTTAATTTATGGTTTCTTCTATCCCTGGTTTCGCAGAGCACTGAAGTACATTTTGCTGGGTAAAATTTTCAGCTCACATTTCCATAATACTAATCTGTTTACTCAAAAAGAAACACAATAGACTTGGTCTCCACTAGTGTACCACAGACTGGAACTCAAAGACTGAGGAGATTGCTTCAAGGAGCTAATAGGGGACAGAAGACCAGCAAGCAAGGGTCAAGAACATGGCCAGGGCAATAAGGGAGGGGAATAAATAAGACCAAAGTAAAAAAAAAATATATATATATTTGTGAGTATATACGAATGAAAATGTATAATGAATACTGAACAGCAAAAGCATAACAAATGAAATATATGTAGGAAAATGAGAATTCTGTATAATGAGTTTAAGCTAACTTAAAAATTAATAACAAAGGGTATGAAAACACCGTTTCTACTTCTTAGCACCATAGGGTTACTATTGATTAAAACATACATGATACATTTCAAAATGATCCAAAAAAGAATGAAATTATCAATAATTGAAAATGATCCATAGGTGAAGTCATGGGGCTGATTATCACTCTGATTTGATTATAGTATACTGTGTACACATCCTAAATTACCATAATGTACTCTAAGATGGACAGATTGAAGAAAAAATACAGAAAAAAATGAAGTTGCCCAAGGTTGTGTGTGTGTGTGTGTGTGTGTGTGTGTGTGTGTATAGAGAAAGAGAGAGAGACAGAGACAGAGAGAAGAGATTTTGGCCACAATAAAAGGCTCTTGGTTTCTAGTATTTAAGGGGCAAAAAAAGAGAAACCTCTTTGTACCCAAATTCTATCTAGCCGTTGTATAGCACTAGTAGTGAGAAAAGAAGAAAAATTAGAAAAGGAAATAGAAGATGAGGAAAAATTCAGGAATAAAAGAATATGCAAACACCTTTTGAAAAAAAAAAGGATTTTATTTTATGTGTACAGGGGTTAAGTTTCCATGTATATCTGTGTATCATGTGTATGCAGTGCCTGTGGAGCCCAGAAGAGGGCATTGGATCCTTTAGAATTGAAGTTACATTGCCAGGCGGTGGTGGTGCATGCTTTTAATCCCAGCACTCGGGAGGCAGAGGCAGGCGGATCTCTGTGAGTTCGAGGCCAGCCTGGTCTACCAAGTGAGTTCCAGGAAAGGCGCAAA